TTCTCTTCAATTATAAACTGTTGTCAAATATAAATACATCTATTTTCAAATTAAGTCTAAAGAAAACAGAAAACATAACACTAAATTTCAATTTTAATCTGTTTTATTTAATTCATATTTTTAACCATTTGTATTGATCAATTTTTTCTTTACTTATCTAAAATGAACATTGGCTGTTTTGTTTTTTTAATCAGAAATGGTATACGTTCTCCATAAATAGCTAAGCATTTAATTATTTAATATTCTCTAAAATAACTTTTATAAAATTCCCCTCAAACAATCATATAAAGCAGAATTGTAGAAGTTAAATCAAACATTTTGTCCTTTAAAGCAAATACAAACATCCAGTCGCAGGTATCTGGGTTTCACTACTGAATACATTATTTTTCTTATGAGCGTTTTATTTTCCTAAACCCATTAGTAAAAATATGAAAATATTTCATCCAACATGTAGGGGCTAAACATATGTATATGCAGCATTTTATATAAAATTATGGCCAAAAAAGTGTTACCTTATAGAAGAAAAACTTATTCCATGACTGGTGTCATGTCTTTAGACCACACAAAATGCTTGCTATGCATTTTTCCTCCCTTTTCAATTTTGCTATCTGCCTTTACTTCCCACCATCGCTCGCTCTCATCGATCAATGACAGAACCTTGGAGATGTGTGCTTCATCAAATGTCTGGATGTGTTTCTCTTTCTGCTTGCAAAGCAATGGATATCCAGGCGACAACTTAACTCTGCTCCTCTTCAGGCTTTAGGAAAACACGTTCCCTCTAGACTGAAATGAGCAAAACTGGAATTCTTCCATGAACCCACCAATATGGTTAATTTTAATTTTCCAAACACAAGATGCAACCAAGCAGCCAAAGAGGCACGAAGAGGCTTGCTCTGAACTTAAAAGATTGTAAACTTTGGACAAAGCTGAGTTGTTTGTTTGTGGGCTCCATTTTTTTGGCCATGCTTCATTACAAACCTAGTAGTGGTGTTTACTCAGTAGTATATCAGCTGCTGACATTTAGATAAATGTCTGCCCTGCAGAGCAGATCTGCCCTTTTTGTTCAAAAGAGAACATTGCACAAGAATGTCATATGTGTAAGAGCACAAACCAAGCTACAAGCTAAAGACTTAATCATTTTCTTTCTTTCATAAAAAAATTGAACAACCTAACAATGAGTATGTGACATTGACTTTTCTTTTTACCTGAAACCCACAATAGGACACTCTTTGCAGATGTTACACTTGGCCTGATGTTTGGCCGTCTCTGCAGCAGCAACCCTGTGCAGGACAGGAAGCCAGACCATAGACTGGGGCTCCAGTCTCATCCAGTCCACAAACTGCCGAGGCTCCAGCTCCACCTTGTTGTTCACCTGTTCATAAAAAGGACACGTGGTTAGGAGTTAGGAGCCCATAAAGCAAAAGTTTATCAACCGTATGAAGTTTATAGTTTCTATAAAGGTCCCTCAAAGTGAAGTGATAAACTGTAAGGGCACTTTGCAGCATGAGATAAAACATGCACATCCAGTAAATGCTGTAGCTCTTTACTAAACTCCTAATAAACATGCAGACAACTTTAGGATTGCCTTATATATCAAAATGAAAAGGCTCCGTCCTGTTAAGGCTTTGAGTTTTAAACAGAGACTGAATGCCTTTTTATGAGATTCTAATTAATGTTTACTGGTGCAAATGTCTTATAATAAATTGATGAATGGTCACATCCCCACTGCCCGTGTCTTATAGGTCCTGTAGCTGTATTATTAGTTCACAGCTAGGATGCTCGGAGCATAAAAAATATGTCCAAACATCTCTTCCATGCAGAACTGAACTTCAGGTGTTTCTGGAACCAGGAGAGAAATACATTTACTTCCTGAAACATGTATGGGAGACTGCATTTTTTTTTTTTTCTATTCACTGTTTCAAACTGTTAAAACAAAGATCTAATGTATTATCCCACATTATCACATGGACACCCTCCTCCCATGAAGTCATCCCACCATTGCTCAGCTACACCACTTTCACGGGCTTCCTATCGATTTCAGAAGTTTAGGTTTAAACTCTTCTATTTGCTTATAAGGACATCTCCATATTTATCTGCACTGCTGCTCCTTCTCATTTCCTCCGATCTTCTTCCTCTCTCCATCTCACTGTCCTTTCCCCTCGACTGGTTCTTATGGGCTCCAGGGCTTTACTGAAGCTGCTCTGGCCCAAAACTCTGGAACCCCCTCCCTCTGGACCTCAGTAATATTCATTCTTTTCCTCTTTAAATCACATCTCAAAACTTAAAACTTGCCTTTAAACTCCAACATTCCCTCCATCTGTTACACTACTGTATTTTGTTCTTTTTTTAATGTTTATATCTGTTTTTACTTTTGTTTTTATCATTTATCCATTTATGTTTTTCCCCTTAATATGTTCAGAGTCCTCTAGTTTCTTAAAAGGAGCTTTAAAATGAAATGTATTATCTTTATTATAACAACTAACCCAGATGAATTTACACAGGCATCTAAACCATGTGTGTAGTTGCATTGGCTGGCAAACACCTGGCACAACAGTGTGAACAATATATAACTGAAGACCATGGAGTCCATTCACTATTTAGCAGCTTTGCTATGGTTGATGTTACCTCTAAGCAAATCAAAGTGACCTTTCTATCCTCCCAGACACATGAGGGAGAGAAGGAAGCACAGGGCAGAAAACACCGGCAATAAGAAGAGGATTTTTTTGAAAGGAACAGGATGTACCTGTTCACCTGTTCCATCGAGAAAGCTTATTGTGTAAAAGGCGACAAGCATTTTACCTCATTAGCATGTACGACTAAAAATAAATATATGATGTAAAACAAGACTAAAAGACTAATGAGAAATAATAATATAATATTCCCAGATGTTTGGAGCTATTTAAACAATGCTTCACAAATGAATCATTAAAATATCCCAAAGATATTTTACATACGTTATAATATATTACAATGGTATAAAAATAAAAACAAACATTTTTATTCATTATACTCTATCATCAACTCAGATGAAAATTGTCTAATCTTAGAGCTTAGAAAAAAGATAAGACAATCNAGAAACCCTTATTATGCTACAACTGAAGAAAAATAAAAGGTTTTAATTTTCAACTTTAGGAGAAAATAATATTTGGACTGTTTTTTAATGTTTATATCTGTTTTTACTTTTGTTTTTATCATTTATCCATTTATGTTTTTCCCCTTAATATGTTCAGAGTCCTCTAGTTTCTTAAAAGGAGCTTTAAAATGAAATGTATTATCTTTATTATAACAACTAACCCAGATGAATTTACACAGGCATCTAAACCATGTGTGTAGTTGCATTGGCTGGCAAACACCTGGCACAACAGTGTGAACAATATATAACTGAAGACCATGGAGTCCATTCACTATTTAGCAGCTTTGCTATGGTTGATGTTACCTCTAAGCAAATCAAAGTGACCTTTCTATCCTCCCAGACACATGAGGGAGAGAAGGAAGCACAGGGCAGAAAACACCGGCAATAAGAAGAGGATTTTTTTGAAAGGAACAGGATGTACCTGTTCACCTGTTCCATCGAGAAAGCTTATTGTGTAAAAGGCGACAAGCATTTTACCTCATTAGCATGTACGACTAAAAATAAATATATGATGTAAAACAAGACTAAAAGACTAATGAGAAATAATAATATAATATTCCCAGATGTTTGGAGCTATTTAAACAATGCTTCACAAATGAATCATTAAAATATCCCTAAGATATTTTACATACGTTATAATATATTACAATGGTATAAAAATAAAAACAAACATTTTTATTCATTATACTCTATCATCAACTCAGATGAAAATTGTCTAATCTTAGAGCTTAGAAAAAAGATAAGACAATCTTCGACAAAGACAAAAAAAATAAAACTTAATAAAATTATATTTCAGAACTTTGACTTATAATATTCAAGGAGGTACTACGAAAAGTTCAAAAAAATTCATGACAACGTTGACTTCTGTTACACTGTTAAACTTTCCCGCCTAAAAAATTACATTTTAAAACATGTTTTTAGTGATTTAAAGGGGATTGTAGTGAATTTTAGTGCCGCATGGTTTAGTGCAGCTGACTTTTCTTTAATCACCTGGATAAAAGAATGGTAGGATGGTGGAAAACTAAAATCAAAGGGCGGCTCACCAAGAAAAGTTTGGGAACCTTTGCATGAAGGAGCCTGGAGCATAAAATGCTGCTTAAATGTTTTGACTGGATCTATTCTAACTAAAACAACTAATGATAAAAATAATCCCCCAAAAAAGTAAAAAATAAAAAAAATAAAAAAAAAAACAATTCACTGGACTTTGTTTCCAAGTTTGAAGACATTTCGCTTCCCATCCAGGAAGCTTTCTCAATTAAAAAAAAAGCTAATCGAACCAGAAGAATGGGTCTGTCCCTTAGGAATGGGGAGTCGTTTGGGCTCTTTGTTAGCCTGCAATACCCAATACTGGTCTATGCCTCTGAAAATGATATTTTGTTTTGTCCCCTGCATGGGGATGGGGGTTCAGATGATAGCGGCAGGAAGGAATCAACTCCATGGCTGCATTGTAGGTTTTTGAGAGCTTAAACCTGAGTCCACCCCCTATTTAAGGTTGGTTTTTCTTTCTTAAAATAATCACCTGTCTTCTTTATCCAAAATGTGAACATTCTGGTCCTCAAATGAGTGTTCCTTATTCTCATTCCATATTTTGTTGTTCTTTCTGAAACCTTACACCTGACCCCCTTTAAATAAACTTTAAAGCAGCCTTAGTATGAATAGTATTCAGGTGTTTGTGGTTATGCATAATAAAAGTTTCTTTTGATCCTTTAAAAAAATTCAAAGGAGACTTTTACCCTCGGATAAAAGGAGAATATTAGCTCGGATATATTCTTCAGCCCACCGACATCTCAGATCATCATTAAACTCTTCACCCTTCCTCTGACCTTTGCCAGCATAATCTAACCGTCGCTTCAGTCACATACATTAGTCTCATCTTTGCTTTCTGTCTTTTCTCCCTGGCATCTAACTGCAGAATTATAGCACTTACAGATTAATTACTGCCTGGCTGAAAGGATGACTGGACAGAGGGATGGATGGAAAAATGAAGCAGCGCGACAAAAGGACGGCAAAGGAGGCTAAATTTATGTGACTCCTTCATCACAGAGTCGTTAAAACGAATGAGCTTGGGGGTTCTGCAGCGTCACTGGACGGACTTACTGATGCACAAAGTCTGCACTGTGTTTATGCAGGTGGGTTACTGGGAGATATTGTGTGTATTTTCTGGTTTTGCCTGCCAAAACATTGTTGGACGTTTAAATGATTAATGAGGAGCTGAACTACAGCTGACATAGAGATTCATGACTGAGTCTGGGGGCAATTTGTTTCTAGAGGTTTGCATGTTTGTGTACTCATGCGTTCTCAAACCATCTATGTCCATGTGTGTTTTAAAGCAACATCAAGAAGGACTTGTAGGAGATCTTTACCGCTGCAATATCTGCTTCACTCTGTTTTTAACCCGCAAGGAGGAAAATAAGTTAAACTGGATTTTGTATCAGTCTCCTTCTTATGACAACCAAGGCATGAGGTGGGAAAAACTGAGTATAATAAAATAGTGACTCCCTGAGGAGAACAGCTTCATTAAACTACAGTAAAGTCTATAATTAAGCCTGAGTAAAGAACCTAGATGGTCACCGTGAAACTAGAAAGAACAGTCAACATAAAGTTGTCAAGAAGAGTTCTAGCTTTTATGGTGAAGTTATTTGCCTGACAAAAAAAAAAAAACTGTTTGCAAAAAAGGAAGATCAAAAATGTGACAGAGAAACCCTTATTATGCTACAACTGAAGAAAAATAAAAGGTTTTAATTTTCAACTTTAGGAGAAAATAATATTTGGACTGTTTTTTAATGTTTATCCCTTGAGAATAACAGTTATTAATTCAATTCCATTTATTTATATGGCGCCAATTCACAACACGTCATCTTAAGGCACTTTAAAATTTAACCAGATCATACAGTCAAATTGATTCAAAAGCTTTTCCATCTAAGCAAAACCAGTTGATTGCCAGTTAAATAATAGGTGAAGAAAAAAATCATGTTTTCAGCATGTTTTCTTACATGCTGGAAACAGCTGCGGACGCTGGGTTCAATGTTGGAGCCCCCAAACGCGGCCACCTCCCCCAGTTGCCTGGGGATCTGGATGGCTTCATGGAGCAGCAGACCGAGCTGCCTCTGGTCGCACGTGTCACCAGCTGACGCCACCTGGCTGAAGAGATCTGTGGAGGAGTGCAGCAAAATAAGAGGGAATAAAATTAGAACGAAGGAGTGAGGAATAGGCTGGAAAATGTGGGTGATATCGGGAAGAAATATGCAAGTATAAATAGATGCGAAGGGAGAATGAGAGATGGTAAAGCTGCAAGTGGGAGGAGATGTGTGTAACATACAGGTAGGAGCCTTGTAGGGAAGACGCAAAAAAACAGGAAAAGATTCATATTGAATCTGTCTTTTTATTCAAGGCTAGAATGTTCCCCAGCTAATCTCTCTTCCCTGCTGCCAACTTTGTGAAAGCCTCACTGGATAAGGAGGCCTATGGGGAACGTGAAATTTATCACATGTTCACGGTTTTTTAAAAAATCATGAAAGATCACAAAGATATTGTAATAAAAAATAAAGAACAGAGTGTAAACCGGAGAAAGGGAGAACACTGTCACCACTCTTTCTGCTCAGTTTTTTAGCTGCCTTTGATCTCCTTGCAGCACAGGCTGCGATGCCAGCCTCCGTAAAACGTGCACACTTCCACAATTATATGCATTGGTGACCTACTTGTCCCCTTTATTACATTTAGCTCTCAAGACAACTGACCGATCAACACCCACAGCTAAAATAGGTGACTCTCTGCTAAACAATTAGATATGACATTTGCAACTATGGAGTGTAAAACTGCAGAACACCTGGTTTGGGATCTGTGCAATTCAGTGAGAGTAAATGCATGGGATTGACAGCAAATGAAACACTAAAGTAAAGGAGGAAGAATGCAATCAACCGTGCTTGATGCCCTCCTCAAGCTAATAGGAACTGCCAGTGGAACGAATAAGCTCAGGGATGGGGTTCATACCATGGAAAGAGAAAGGAAGAGGAAAAGGAAGAACGGGGGAGAAGCAAGGGTAAGTGAGATAGGAAAATAAAGAAAGAGGAACTGTTGGACAGATGAACAATGGAGCAGGCTGTGGCAGGGAAAGAAGACGGACTGAGAGAGATACGGCAGCAGAGAAAGAGCTTGAAGCCAGACTGACAAGTCGTCTCCCAATGCAGCGAGCCAATGCTCACTTCGTCTAATCCTCCAGAAAAAAAAAGAAAAAAAAAAAAACAATCAAAAGGCAGAATTCAATCAAGAACAGGGGGAACGTAGGAGGTCTCTCATCCAATTAGACAAACCATTCACTGACGCTTTGTCCCCCCTCCTTACTGTGTTTGATTAATACTACCAGGATTACAGCTGTAGTGAAGCAGCGTGGGTGCAGGAAGATTTGCGTAGGGGAGCGGGGACAGCTGTGCATTTCCAAACACGCGTACCCCCGTAAACACACATCACCCACTCACTTTCACTCACATTTATACTTCTCCTCTAAGTGCCCCTTGGAGAGAGACAGCAAGCCAATCTTCATGGAGAGGACGCGAATCTTCCCACTGCGACCACTGCAGACAGAGAAATCAACACAACACCATGAAGAGTCTTGCTGGTTATATTTTTAGTGCGAGATTCTCTATGTCAACAATGTTTAATACATGGATGGAAAATAAGAGAAAATCGTTAGGTGTTTGTGTGTGTGCATATTTTATTCTAATTCCATATTCTGTTTACCCTCAAACAGTGTTTACACCAGAAACGACACTGGCTTACAGCATGTAGACACACCTAATTATACACAGATGATGATGTGTTCATGCCAATTTGAATGTGAATGTCAGCTCTTGGTAAATACATTACGCAACAGCTTATTTTCCTGCCAAACAAGGCGCTTGATGGTGTAGGTACGACATACTGACAATACCACAGTAATTAGCATAATGCTAAATCTATGTGTGTTCCCTGAAAACATGCGTTCCCTTAAGATTTTTTATAAGCACTGAACATTTTGTTGTGTTTTCACTTGAATGCATTTCAGTTGCACAGAAGTTGGAGGATAGAAAGTAATATATGCTCTGACCTGCTTCATTGACCCTGCTTAGGTGAATCCCACAGTATAATGCTGCAAATGCCATGTTTTACTGAGCGGTTGTTGTCTTTAAAGCTCCAGGCTTTAAAATAAAATAAACTAAATCATACGGACTCAATGCAAAAGTAAATCCTTCACATCAGTGAACTCCTGTCTGCAAGACTCTGTGCTTCAGCATAACTTTGACAGACATGTCAGCATATCCATAAAATGATAATTGAAGGTTATGCAAAAGCAGGTTAATGCTTTATTAATGGAACCTGTCTACTCTGATGCTAGATGCAATTGTGATAAATTTAAGCTAAATAAGCATTAAGAATAACATTAAATAGGTATTCTAGGCACAAGATGCCTGGGCACAAATACGCAACCACTTTCTGTATATTTAATGACTGAAATGTTGCAACAGGATGCATAAATAAGAAACTAAATAGAAAGCAAGTAATGAACATTGATCTTTTTATTATTAGAACTGGGTGATGAAATAAGGTAGAGGAAGAGGCAAACAGAAAATGACGGAAGTGGCACTAAACACCGGGGCAAAAGATGACAAAAACAACACGTCTCGTACAAAGCAATTCCACTGCAAGATTTGCTTTTTATATTTTTTCGTAGGTCCTCTCTGGTCAGAAAGCTGCTAAATTGGCTAATACACTAAACGGCCACAATTAAAACTTACAACCAGAGTCTTTCTTTCAAAGACAAAATTTTGAATGAATATGAAGTGGGGTATTTTATAACTATTGGAAAACTTTTGGAAATACTGTCTTTCATCTTGTTAATCTTCCATATAGGCTGGATTTGTTGAGTGTACAAGTAGTAGTCGAGCTACTAACCTGTCTTTTTTTTTTCCAAGTCATGCAATGCTCTTCCCATAAATAGTTAAAATAGTGCTCTGGAGATGCTTAACATGTCGAATATCACAAATACTACTTTAAAGTTCTCAACAGCTCTATCCCCGATCTATCTATGAAGTTCCTCGGTCTTCATCTTTCCGTTTGTTTACAACCATCTAACAACCTTTGAGGCATTTACAGAACAATAAAATTTTTAGTGAACAAACAAAAAAACAATTCAGTGACTTTTCAATGTATTCCGTCAATGTATTTTATTTATTTTATTTTTGCCCCAAAGTAAAGACACATGTTATTTGCACCATTCTCCACTCACTAATAATATATATTTCTTTTCTCATACAGCATAATCCAATCCATTTTTTATGTCACTAACCAAGGTTTATAGATTGATAGATATTTCTGTGATGGAATTTCTACTCACGTGTCGTAAACATTGAGCAGCCAGTTGAGACACATATCAACACAGAGAGGCACGTTGACCAGGTCTTTGTGCTCTTGCTCCAGGCCATCATAGATGGATGTCAGGCAGTTGATGACTTCCGGGACGGAGAGCAGGTGGCTGTTGTTGGTGAGTTTGTGTTGCTCAAAGGTGTTCTGGGCGACACTGAGATCCAGCAAGTCCACTGCAGAAAGGGAAAGTTCAGGACAAAGCCGGGGGAAAGGGGGGAATGAAGAGAAGTAAATAAAAGTCAAGGGGAAGGGAGGTGAGGAAGAGAGCAGACAGAGAAAGAATTGAAATGAGAAAAAGAAACCATGATTTTTTTACCGCAGCTCAGATTACAAGATTTAAAGCAAATCTAGACTGAAAAGAACAAGCTAAAAAAAAGGCATGTGCTATATATAGAAAACAAAACCTTAAATATTCCAAGGGCGTTTCAGCTATAATATTCCAAAACAAGTCAATGGAAGCTTCTGCTGGGAATACATGGAAGAGATCAATCTGAGCAATGAAATATTAATATGGAAGAAATATAAAGTCTAGACAAATGAGGCAGTTAATGTAGCAGTCGGCTTTTTAATTTAATTTGTTGGCTCCTACTCCACAGACAAAAATAACGCCATTATTGTTAAATCAATATCTCATAGTTTTATCATATTCTCCTTGTCACTTTTGTGATCTAAAAAAAAAGGACAAAAAGAACATCTAATGGGACGACCAAGTTACAACAGAAGTAAATCCAAAGTTGACAGCTGCATGATCTCACACCAGCACATCAGGAAAGCCAAAATACGTTCATAAAAGTAGAGAAATCAAAAATTATTTGATCTTTATTCACATCACAATAAAAAAATAGACAAAGACTCAGACTTAAGTGTTTGTTTAAAAGGTAAGTCAGCAGAACACAAAAGGTGTAATAATTTAACAAGACAGTTTAAAGGTGTGTCTGTTTTTCATTAAGTTTTAATGAAGGAAGATAACAGTAGATAACTGTAAAGTTAAAAATATAGGGGCAATGTGCTCCGTTTTATCTCTTTTATTGTTAAACCTCAACCTTGGATTTGGAAACATGGCCCTTCTTCCATGAAATCAGTTTATAAGGAGTACAAACAAAAACTGCTGTTTGAAGGCAGGAATGCAAACTGAAGTGATGGTTAATAAAAGACACCCGACTGCCATAATTTTTGGGTTTGTTTATTAATACAATGAGATCTCTACACCTCATTTAGGGTTTATTCAAACCAGAAAAGTTATCAAAATCAGAAATTAAAAGTTATTTGCAAATTGCACTTTTTGCAAGTAGAATGTAACTTACAACAAAGCCATGCATCTGATGTTTTTAGAAAGAGTATGGCAGGACAGACTCCATGCAGCACCTCTAATGCATATTTATGCTGTTATTATGGCTGCATAAGACTTTTAATTATTAATTTTGTAAATGTATTGGAAAATGCATTCGTGGAGCAGAGGAAGATCCACTGCATGCTTGCAGCAGCACTGCTAAACAACAATCAGCGGAACAAGTAGAATTTTGATAACATCTCATCACTACTATGACGGCGTATTGAGTCCGAAGAGACAAAGGCTTTCCTCGTCTGGGTTGGACTAAAGCTATTTTGTGTTCATACCTGAAGCGAAGCACAAACAGTCAATTTAGAAACCCACAAAAATGGGTCTGCTTGTGGGACGAAGAGGAGAAAAACTCTGATCCATGTAAAGAGTGTGATTACAGTAAAATATTCATTAATAAAGGTGATAGGAACTACCTAAAGCTGGTATCTACTGCCAAAAACCTCGAAATATTTAAAATATGAACATGTTGCTGATATTTACAGTTCATTTTAAGGTAGGTAAACATTATTATAAGACCTGGAAATGTATGTACACTGATGCTCTTAATCTAATTTGGCTTTATTCGATCTTTGAGCACCAGGAACTCAGGTTTCTAACAACTGATCAACAAAGTTTCAATTTTGTAAACCAATGAAAATGTCCCCATTAGGGGATTCTTTCTGTTTTAATTATTGAAGAAACTTCACTTACAGGAGGAATAAGTCACAGGAACGCAATTACTTTGGTCATTGTGCGTTTCTTCCTTTATGCCAGGAGGTTGATGACTTAATCAATACCATACTTTGGTTTATCCATCTGCTCAGCATCAAACTAGATCAGCAACTTGGTCCGTTTCAGGCAAAGAGAGAGAACAGCTGGGCTCTCTCTGCCCATTAGGTTTAAAGCTTGTTCACTTTAAAGCATGTTAATTAACACCTTATATCTTGTTTAGTTTGGAAAGTCAAACAGCAAATTAGAGTTACAAACACTTAAGGTTCAAGTTTAGGTCATCCCTGAGTACTTCACTGGTTTTCAAAGAAAGCTTACTCTTTCTCTAAGATAAAATGATCGCTCAATCCACTTTCATAGATGAATGGATAAATGGATGAACAGATATGCAAAATACTGAAAAACCAGATTCCTCCAAATTGTGTAGGAACTTCATCTACAAGACCCTAAAGTTCTTTTGCATCATACTTCTGATCCCAAGGTTTGAATCTCAGGATTTATTACCAAACGCTGACATTTCTACAAAAAAAAAAAAATAATGAGCTTGATGGCCGATAACTCTCAGAGTTGTTCATTCAAGACAACTCAAATTCAGATTTTTGCCTTTAGCGTTTGGCGATGAATTAAAAAACAGAGATACTTTACGTTTGCATGAATTTCTGGGAATATTTTTCCAATGAAACAAAAGAAGTTTATGAGCAACACGTTGAAACCAAAACTCTCTTTGGCTTCATTTTTAAAGAACCTGACTAGAAGCTGGTCCATATTTCTAAAATAGTTGTCTCTGGACTTGCGTCGTAGTTTAAACCTATTTTAAACACTTGTACTGAATATTTCTTATGGATTTTTTTTACACAGAGTCACGTTAATCTAACTTAACGTATAGTGATCCTTCTGTAATGATTCCTTTTTTTTCACCATCCCACATGTTTGCTCTAATCTAATGATACAGAATCCAGGCATCAAAATGAGTTCTACATATTTATTTTCATCTCAAAACCATTAGATAATAAAAGCAATCAGACTGCAAACAAAAACACCTAAATCATTAGAAAACTCATTTAAAAACGGCAACAAGCAGCACAACAGCAAACCAATGTCTGTTTTTGTTGTTTCTAGATCCTTACAGCATTCCCATTCTCTCTCCAACTTTCAACAAACAGCAGGGAATAAATGAGAGGGGGTCTCTAACAGTGATCTGCTGCGTTCATTATGTCAGCATCTGGATAACAGTCATCATTTGTCACCATTATTACAATGCTATGACTCCAACTAGCTGCTTACATGCTGGGTGAAACCACCCAGGAGGAAATCTCCATGCAACTGTAAAGTGTGTTTGACTGTGTGTGAGTAGGAAGGTATGTGTAAGAGCCACCTGGGACTGTAGGTAATAGCAGCCTTACTCAAAGCTTCCATTACAAAGCAGAAAATATGAGCTAAAAGATTATAAAGGGAAAAAAACACCTGTGCACACCAAAATAAGGCTGTAGTCAACAAGCTTAACACCAGGAACAGCTGCGACTGGTGGACCCATCCCCCACCAACAGATGCACATATAAAAAAAATCAATACAGTCATGCAGCAAAATGTAATTTAAAAGCCAAAATATGTCTGCCACCTATGTTGCATTGACACAGCACCTGGCAACGTTTCAAATCATTACCTTTTCCCTGAAAGAGAGGAGAAAATGGAGCAGACTCTGGCTGTGGACACAAAGGTGAGAATGTGTGTATCTTACTCACAGCACAGGGCCTTTTGTAGTCTGCGAATCTTCATGGCTGTCCGGTATGCCGAGAATCTCACATTATTTAAGTCCGCTGCAGGCAGAGGAGAAAAGACAGGAAGATGAAAGGTGAATTGACAACTGGGAAAAAAATGAAGGTAGGAAGATCAGGGGAAAAAAACAGAGCAACACAAATCTGCCTGCAGGGCATCATAAGCAGAACGTGTGTCTTCACTCAAATCTAACTTTTCTATAGAGGGAACCAGGAGGAGAACAGTTCTAATGCAGGATATGTGTAATTAGGTCAGCAAGTTTTCATCTCTGAGGACGGATAGATCTATTTGTTGAGCTGCTGCCCTACAGAAAATGCTGCCCGACTTTCTGAGGTCATAACCAATCAGTCTGCTTATTAATGAACAGTTGTTTTTGCCCTCCCACTGGGAACCAGACATGCATTAGGGTATTGATAGGAAGTATCAAAGAGGTAAGATAACAGTCGAAGTAGGTTGAATGTAAAAACTAGATTTATTTAATGATAAATACAAAGTGTGCACTCCTCTGGTGTGAATTCCTAATCTATCAGGTAAGCATTTAAAACCTCTACAGTGCTTATTTTCCTTAAGTATTAAAATTGTTTTGTTTTTTCTTTAACTAAAAAAACAGAGAAAATGTCTTTCCTTCTGTAGATATTCTATTTTATAAAACACTTCTTACAGGTACAAAGAGCCTTTAGATTCGCTTTCCAGGTATTGTTACCTACAGTTAGTAAATCACTTCAGCTCTGAAGATTGATTGACGAAGACCTGTTTTAACTTGACCTTTGATAGGACTTTGTATAAAATGGCCTCTACTTTTATGCTTGTGTTATTACTGCTTACATTTCATTTCTCTTCTGAAGAGGTTGTACTTTAAGCTCTCTGCTAATAATTTGTTTGACATTATGTGTAAAGCTGTGAAAATATGTAGTCCTGCAGTCCATCCCCTTATCAAAACAAAATCATTACCATCCACACCACTCAATGTTACATAAATTAAGCAACAAAACACAATATCTGTTTCAGATAGAGTTATTCTACCAGTCGATAAATAATATTCTAGACTCCATTTATGTTTATAATGGAGGATTTTGTGTTTTACTTCATTTCATAGCCTGAGAATCTCATACAGTACCAGCCCATTCTGCATACACCAAGGCCTCTTTTTTTCTTTCCATCTAACAGATGTACTGTTCATTTTTTCTTTGCTTTCTAGATCCTTATTTACTTCTGATCAAATATCAAATAAGATCAAAGAAATCAGAGAATCTAAGGCTGTGTCCGAACGTCCTCCCTAACCCCTAAATCCCTCAATCACTATATAGAGCATGGTCTTCATAGTGAACTTGGTTAACTGACCGCTCGGACAGATGATCACTGCTTTTCGCTCCCTGTTGGTGACATAACTGCGCCTCCACCGCACAGTGCCTGCAGGATCTTATTATTCGCTGTGAGAGCATAATGCTTTGGGAGGACAGCTCTCCTCGCAAAGCATTCTGAGATATATCTTCTTGTCTATTGACCATGGATGATCACTACTTTTTAAGTTGCATTGTTGGAAATTTCAAGTCTACTACTTTTTCATCCACTAGACATTCGTACACTCATCTAAAATGGCGTAACCATTATATAGTGAGCGATATAGTGATTATGGCGGACATTCGGACACAGCCTAAGAGACAGTTTTGACCAATATTCAAGCTGAAGCAGGTATAAAAAACTACCACACACTTATACAATAAATGTTCTGTCGATTCTAATATGATCATTAACGTCTTTCATTGTATTTGTTCAAAATAAATTACTTATTTAGGATCCTTTTCATCCTCTCTCATTAATCTTTTATAGCTTTCTAAACTGATAAAACCTGCAACCAATTTGGCACTTTATAGTCTGTTTTGAAAGATAATTATTTAAAAAAACATGAGCTTTAGTTATTTACCTGATTTCTTTTTTTCTATCTAGAGCAATTGTTTGTGCTAAAATGCCTCCTGAGTGTCCATACAACTATACATTGGCTCAGAATAACCGTCCTAATTGTTAGATTTGAGGATCAAGTTCAGGTTATTAGATATGTACATCACAATAAATACATGTTTGTCAGCATTTTATCAGAAACATTGGAAATAAAGTTCTGTACAATTGTAGTTAGTTAATATTATTTAATCTATTTAAGCACCTTTCTGACAGGAGGTGTTGCCTCCATATATCTCCTGCTGCCCCTATCCTACAGGACTATGGATGGAAACTAGCTTTGAGCTCCTGTTGTTCATTAATACATGCTGTCTGTCCCTTTCAAATAAATAAATACATAAACCAAAATATCTGTTTTCTTGCATTTTTCTTCTTTTTTCAATCTTTAAAAATATGATCTGCACAGTTACTAGGTTTCAAATTCAGTTTTGGAATATGGTTAGTTCAATGGCTCCTGACAAATTTAATTTAGGAGGTCAAATAGCAAAATGGGCGTTGTGGCTCCTACAACCTGCAGATTCCAATTAGGACCTGGAAATTACAGGTGAATGACACTTAGGAGTTAAAATATTAATATAACAACTAAGATTAAGGCTATGCAATTAACCAAATTTGGTTTTCAAACGACGACTTTTTGCTTCCAAAAGAACAAAACGAAACGATGGACAGGAAAGTAAATAAAATGCACAGATTATACTAGGGATGCATGATCATGATGGTAAAATGCAAAAATACTTTTACCAAATGAGTAATTATGATTTCTTAGAGATAAAATAATAATAGTAATCAATTTAATTCAATTGACTTAAATAATTAAGTTAATTTTAGTCTTACAAGAAGAGATACATATATATGTTACATAATACTATGTGTCTCTGTCTGCGTGCGTGTTTTACCGAGAGACTGATAGAGCTCCGTCATCTTTGGATGATCCCAGCAGGTCGTCTGTGTCTGGTGACTGAAAAATTCAACATGGAGAGAAAACATTTAGACAAACTGGGAAAAGAACTGCTTTTATCACACAAGGTGCAAAAAAACATCCACAGTGTCTTTCGCCATTAGTGAAAGAAAGTGAAACTGTGTGGTGTGGATGTTATTACTAACGGAACAATAATAAAATTCATTTGACTTACAGCAAGGTTAAAAAAATTACTGTTACAAAACTGTTTAGTTTAATTTCTTTAAGCATTTTACATTCCCATGTTACTTAAACATTGAGGGAAAGAAATTCCAGAAGTTTTTTCAACACATTTTTAAAAAAATAACTCCTCTACTATTAGGATATTATTGTTAAAATCACAACAGCTGTAAAAAATCACAAACCTTCGTTGATCACATTGATAAATCCACCTCATCCTTACAAACTTTACTATATTAATGTTCCCACCTGTCTTTGTAAGGTCAAGAGTTTCAGTCACTGAAACATAATTTCAGCTGTAAGGGTTAAATAAGTTCCCATACTGTATATAAATGAAAAGTAGTGTGTGTGTGAATGCATGACAATTAAATTATAATATCCTTCTACATATTTAGACAGACAATACAGCACTGCAATACATTTTAAAATGATAATTTGGGGAAAAAAAGACTATATCTAAATGATAAAGCACTTTTTTTTCTCCTTCACAAATAATCTTCACTTTTTCCTTCCAATTTTCAAAAGCCCCCATCTTTGACACCACTTCTCTAAGTTTAACCCATAAAAAACACTGTTTTACTGTAGCAATGTCAATAACTGTAGGATGCTTAAGTATTTGCTTTAAACTATTAGTTAAATAACCATTTCGTCATCCTGCGTCAAATATGCTAAAAGGTCGGGAAGGCTAGAAAATATTTTCTCATGTTTTAATCTTCCTCTAATATAGTTCCTGAAGAGACATTGGAACAGAGCAAACTAATTATTGTCAAATCAAAGCTTTTATTGACGCACTTTGCATCAATAAAAGCGTCTGAGTGCTTTTATAGCTGCACTTTGGTGGCAGCTAAAAACAAGGTAGTTCAACACACACTGAGCAAACTTTTTTCTAACAGTCTCTGAATCAGGGCCAGGGACTACAGAGTTGTTTTCAAATCTGATATAGAAAACACAAAACACTCCCCAATCACACACAGTGAGTCACTCCTCACTGTAGGGAGTCTTTTTAAACACCGCAGGACACAAAAATAAGGAGAACAAGTTCCAAGTCCCTTTTCGCTTCTCCACTTCAGCCCCAGACCCGTTGAAAAGAAAAAAAGGCACAAGATCCGTAGTGCATAAATAAATAAAATAAGATGCATGTCAAAGTTGATCAAACAACTGTCTTCACAAGCACAGGGTAACAAACAAAGAAAAGGAAAAAAAACAGACTCAAGCTGCAAATGCAAGTGAAGTGTTTCTATTTGAGGTGTGCAGGCTGTGATGTGGATCTCTGGTGTTTGTGCTTTTTTTTTTCTTCTTCCTAGGAAAGCACCTGACAGTCAGGAGCAACGCTTGGATCCACGCAGAATATTTCGAGAAGTTTTCCGCAAGATGGTTTTTGAAAAGCAGAAGATCCCTTGTGGGTTCTGCAATGGCTCGCTCTGTGCTGACTGTCAGCGGGAAGTAGAGTTGAACCGCTGCAGCGGATGGAATAAGCTCCCCAAATACACAGATGTTCATCACTATTCAGCAGCTGCGCAGACTGATAACCTTTTCCACAAACGAGAAGCTATTGCTAATGCACCAAACTCCCCTCGCTGTTGATTAACAGGGAGTTTGCCTAAACTGTCAATGGGTTTAAATACCGGTACATGTGGTTGTAGAGATTTATTGGCATTTGCTCCACAACATCAGTGGGGGAGATGACCAGCTATCCACACAAATACTGGTCAGAAGTTATGGTTACAAAGGAAACTGAATTGCCCACTGCTTTATTTAAACAACTGTCGTCCCTGTAGTGATGATTGGGAAATTCTGCTCTTAGTTTGAGGGGGAAAAAAAAGAAACAATCAGATAAATCTGCAACTTTTACAACCAGTGGATGACATCAGTTATTCTGATGATGTCTAAAAGCCTTTTTGACAGCATCCAACCTTAAAGAACGACAGGGCAGAATGAGGCACTTTAAAAGTCAGTGGGGTTTTGCGAGATTATGATTTGTGATCCCATGATTGCTTTTTATTAACAAATAAACTAGAGTTAAAGGGAATACAGTAAGGCTTATAAATTTATATGCCAGAAAATCAACTGCTAAATATAATCTGATGATTTCCAGCACCTGTCAGTGAGGTAAAAGGAAAACGAAAGCCATTTCCACCTTCAGTAAAGTGTTTAAAATGGCATCAGAGGAAGTAAAAAAGAGGCAAAAGAGAAACATCACGACAGGCTGGTTGTTCATCTCAGACTCAAAACATTGGGTGGTGGTCTTTTTTGTACCTTTCCAGGTTTAGCTTTGTTTCTCTGGATGTAAAAAAGACAAATGTTACTCTGGATATAAAATGAGCCACCTGCCACAGGCATGTTTATTCACCTTTGTGGGTCAATTTACCAAATTATATAAGGGGGAAACCTTAAAACCTCTCCCTGGTTCACTAACAAAAATATCCTGTGTTCCTATTTTTAATACAATAACACTCTTGAGCTGTAAATCAGAAAGAAAAAGGCTCTTTAACTAAGAGAATCAGGTGCTGCATTCACATTTATCAGACAGCTTGGCGTCGAAACAATTTTAAAATGGATCTTTTAGTACCTTTTTTGTAGGAGTATCTAAAACAGAGACAACAAATGCAAGAAACAGAGTCAGAGAATAATGATGTATTATCAAAAACAAGCTGAGTCCAAGAGAACCATTAGCTTAATCTATAGCTTGACAGCTGATGATCAAAGATTGATGATCTCTAAGGTCCTTTGTTGTTGAGATTTCAAAGTCCAATACTTCTTTTGTCCTACTGCTGTTAACATTCCAAACTTTGTGAGCAAATGTTTGACTTGTTAACTAAAAAGAAGTAAAAAAGCTGCTAATTTAAATACAATTGCTTCAGAACAGTGGAGATCTACAGACCCTGACCATTTTGAAGTATAAGTAGAGAACTGCTTGAGGGTAAAGTTTAAGTAAGTGGATTTATCATCCTGTATATGTGGCCATCTGTACAGTAAGTGCTCATACAAATCTTTTTTTGAGCTCATTGCATCAAGACTGATACCAAAAAGGAGCAAAAGACTTTGGTAAGATTAGTGTTCACCTCTGCAGTAGCATCCAGAGACTTAGCACTTCAAAGTGCATCAAAGCTGATCTGGCTTTATGTGGTGACTCAATGACAATTTTTCTTTTTTATTGGATTGTCATAAAACCCTGTGACTGATCTTTTCAAACACACACACACACACACACACACACACACACACACACACTAATCACTTTGAAGTAGACAAACCTGTTTGGGCAATTTTTTTTTTATTTTCCTCCTTTGGCGCACACCAGAGGGAGCACACAACTCATCTGCCTAAAGTCAAACACACCAGTCCATTTGAAGCATCCTGACAGCTTCGCCGGATGAAAACACCCATGATCACAGACTTTTTTTTTTACTTGAAAGTGATTAATCTGTACTCTAAATTGCAATAAATCTAAAGCCTTTATCTCTAGTCGTCATCTAGTGACAAGTTAGAGATGCAAATGTTGCAAAAATGTCATCCTTCCAATTTTTTTTTTACTAAGCTAAAGCCTATTTTTTGTATCAGAGTGACTTCATTTTTTTCCTGCTGTTTGTTTTTTATTTTTTGGTAAAAATAAGCTGAAGGAAGGAGTATGTCTCGGCCAGGCTGGAGGGTGAGGGATATATAACCTTTTACTCAAGGATTTTATACAATTTCTGTCTGGCTGAACGGAGGGAGCAGTGGAGGCAATTTGACAAAAGTGACCCTCTTATACTAACAGATCGCTTGCTGCGACAATTCAGCTTATTAAGAATAATTGCTTTTTGCCCTTTGATATTTTATGTGGCTTCTCCATCCCTTGCTGCTGTTTAATTAAAGGTTAAAGTGATTTTCATTACTAATTTCATCCCTGCTGTTCCACAACTAACAATATATCTCCCACTGTACCAGTTCTACTCTCATGTATTTTCCTCTAGGAAAGAGGCAGAGTTGACTAACAGAAAATAGTCTAAGAAAGCATCCACCTTCTTTGTGTTTTAAAAGATCAAAACAGCAATATGAACAGCGGAAGAGCACTTCCCTGGCTGGTGGGAGTTTGTCAATGTCACACATTCAAGGGAGCGACATGAATAATCATGAGTGGGTAGATGAATGACTAAGTGTGTCGGGAAATGTAAAGAAATAAAATTAGGGAAGGATTGCAGAAAGCCAGAGGAAGATTTCACTGACAGCTCCTTCCAACGCTCATCAGGAGAAACTCAGCGACAGGTGACAAGTGCTTTCATTCTCCACCTGATGTCTTGTGCCGTCTCAAAAGCTGACATATCTTCACCCCTGCTTCTTTTTGTCTTTACTTTTTTGGCCTCTGTATCACAGCCTCATTTTGGCGCTGAATTCAGAGCTCTGACAGAGAGGGGACAGCACACAAGCCATTCAAAGAGGGAATCCATCTGATTTCCTCTCGACATCTCAACACTATGCCACTGGGAGGCCTAAATAAGCATAATTTTAATCAGTGGGAATTTTGTCCTGCACAAGAAAAGGTGCAGAGTGGGGAAAAAGATGGGAGGAGGTGGGTGGGAGAAACAAATGTCAGAGTGCTGAGAAAATCCACTGAAAGCAACCTGTGATTAGTCCTGGGGATGGATTCATAGTTCATCTCAAGCAGCCAATTAAGATGGTTTTAAAAACCGAGTGCCAGCTTTCATGTTCTGAGTGCGAATGAGAAAAGGATTTACACCGAAAGTCATCAACGTATTTACAGAAACAGGAGAAACTGGGATTGGGAGTTTCTCTACAGAAGTATTTATTTACTGTACATTTTTTCAGAATTCAAACATTAACATTGGTGCGTTCTGATGAGATTTCACATGATGGACCAACAGAAAGTAGCGCATGATTATAAAAACTGAAGGATGATCACATATGATTTTTAAAATTGCTGTACAAATAAAACATTTTTATATTCAGACCTGCTTTAAAGAATGAACTTCATAGCAGTTATAACTGATAATATTTTAGGATATGTCGCAGAGAGCTTTGTTCACCTTCAGAATGACAGCTCTGTCTAGTTCCGTTTTTTCCAACTACTAGATTTAACACAGATCATAATAAAATTAAGCTACTTTGATCGTATCCATTCCAGTCTGACTGGCTGTAGGAAGGTGACCTTAAACATGTCTAATGTCTTCAGCAGAATCCAACAACTTTTCTTCCCAAACCTCACTATATTTAGGTCTACTGTAAAAATCCGCTCCCTACAGCACGATGGGCCACTCACATGTTGCACTGCTTTCATGTTCAGCCTGACATGCAAGTAATTTTCACGTAGGTCACAGCAGTTCTTATCTGACTACATCGCTTTTACTGTTGTCAACATGTTGTTGTCATGATGGTAAACAAATCATCTTATGGCAACACTCTGATGCATGTTTTCTATTAGGGTTGTCAAAAGTATCGATACTCAAAAAAGTATTGATACTGAAACGTTGTATCCGGATACAATACTCGTTTTTAAAAGTATCGATACAGTGCTACCACCAGTGGCACCTATATAGTCATTCATCTAAAGTGCAGAATAGTGAAAAATGCACTTTCTGAACACTGTGTGATTGAATAATTCTGTGCACTTTGCAGTTTCTGACTTTTTTTTTGTAAGAGGTGCAGCTGCTGAGAATTATTATTGTTTCTTAACCAGTTTGGCTAGTGTCATTGTTATGTGTGCAAAGCATAGCCAAGGAAGGAACACTTAATTTTAATTTTATATGATTTTTTTAAGCTTGCTTAATATTGTGCACAGCATACAACCTTTATTGTATTTATTTATTGTATTTCATTTATTAATGAAAATATTTCTGTAGAATTTTGGAGTCTTTGTTTTTATCTTTGTGGTATCGAAAATGGTATCAAGTGTCGAATATTTTCCTTGGTATCGATATCGAGTTGAAAAGTTTAGTATCGTGACAACCCTATTTTCTATAACAGAGCTTCCCCCCTGTGCTGTTGATCTATTGTGATCATTTAGGGCTCAAATAATTAATCGCATTAATCGGGATTAATCGATTATTGAAATAATTCTCAACTAATTTAGCAATCGATAAGTAAATTAATCGTTAAATGCAGTACAGAGACTGTAAAACATGCCTTTATTAGATAACAGAGAGACCAGCTTATAGCAGAAATTATATCAAAATTGTAAAAAAAAAAAAATATATATATATATATATATAAACATTTTGCATTTAAGTAAAAAAAAAACAAAAAAAAAAACGTTTGAGTCTGGCAATATCCTCTATCCAGAACTCCTCAAGTGGAAAATGTTCATCTTTATTTTTACCTGGTTTAATTTCGTAAAAATTCTTCTTTAGGCAACCTTTCGCTATCCAATTACTAATCGATTATTGGAAAAAATTAACAGATTAATCAATTTGCAAAATAATTGTAAGTTGCAGCCCTAGATTCTTTACATTAGGCGGATTGGTTTATTATACTTTACTTTCTGGGGTCATTACAAAAACCCATATTCAATCTAAAAAACATTTATTAATTAGACGACTTCTAAAAATGTTCATGGGTTTTTTTATGGGTTTCAAAATAAAATACATATAAATATAAAGTACAAGACCCTCTAAAATGTATTTGTAATAAATGTTTATCAATAGGCTATTATATACAATCTCAATTAATAGATAAATGTTTGTAGCTTTAACAAGAGAAAATCTGAAAAAGCAGCAGTAGTGCAAACACTGATGAATCACACTGTAGAAAACAAAATGTAGATTTTTTTATTTTCCTATTTCAGGGTGAAACCTTCCCCTGTTATATGGTTCATCTGCATCTACCATGTATCTGTAGGCATTACTACTCAGTTCATTTATATGCCAGGTTTTGTTTTTCTGTGTCTGTCTGCGTGTTCTGTCATTCTGACAGATGTAGGTTCACTGGCTGGGCACTTCTGTGATCACAGGCTTTTTTTTTTTTTATGTTGTTTGTTTTTTGCTCCAAACACAGAGTCTGGCTCTGCGAGCCTTGTCAGGCTTTATTCTGATCGCCTCCAGCATCAGGCCTCAGCAGGCACAAACACAAGCGGGTGTCAGTCCATGTTTAGGAATTTATTCTATTTGGGATTTTCTGAATATCTTTTCTCTTTAAGGAAATTTTTTTGAAGACCCTAACAGTGCATCATTAAAAATGTATTCAGCTAAAATATATTTTTTATAATTTATTTGTTTCTGTCTCCTAAATATATTTTTTAATAACCCAGGAACTTGGACAGCTATTTTTAAAAATCAATGCCAAATATGCAGCAAAAAAACAAATGAGTTACCAAATCTAAGATTCTATTACAATAAATACGGTAACAAAACTAATATTTTCAGGTACTGTCAGTGCAATCCTTGACAGATGAAAGTTAGAGCATCACTTTAAACAGTGGTAAAAGTTCAGATTTTGTCCCAAATCCCTAATGAGACTCCAACATTTTTAAAGCTGACATTTCCTGAGGAGCAAAATAAGCTGCAACCTAGGATCTGGCTGGAAGAGGTAAGAACTGTGATGGGAATGAAGATATGCACCAGAAGTCATTAAAGTCATTGTTACAGTCCAACTTTTCTCAGATACAGCTATTCTAAAGGGCTGATTTTTTTTTAAAGTAAATCAGAAAAGCAAAAGTGAAACAACTGAACTTTAACATATATCCAGCAGCATTTTGCTGAATAGAAAATGCTTAAATGTGTAAGAAAAAAATGATATGCATGTGTCACGCAAATGATGTGTAAAGATTGGCTTCAGGTCAGTTTGCGCCTCCATACTGTAGTTGTAACATTTTTGTGTCTTTTCAGGAAGGAAACTAAGCCATTTTCTCACACTTTGCATTAACCACAATTTGAGTCCTGCTTTCTTTGGGGCGCTTTGGACTTATATTGACACCTTAATTTTCTATCAATCTCGCAATGTCACCACAATATTTTGGGATGTAATAGTGAAACAATGAGCATAATGGGGTAAACGGTGATAAAATGGGTCCTATCACCTAGAATTTAAAGAAAAAACTATCCTCATTTTTGTTAAAACATGCAAATTAGAAATGCTATCAAAGGTCTGTTGAGATTTTCATTTTAAAGAGCAAAGTAAAAGTCAAAATTTTACTCCTTTTACATCATACATACGACTCCACATAAGTGTCAATTGTTTAACCAGGTTGTAATGGTTGAAAATCTAGAAATAAACAGGATCAACTTTGGTAAATAATTGAGAGGCTGAACAAGAGCATAGCTGTGTTTCCTTTTAACTGAAAAGCTTATTTTTAATTAACTTGATTTAAGGTGAGTTAACCAAGTACTTTAAAGCGTAATGTCTTCATACGTCATCACCCACATTCTGTCGTCACACATGGCTGTAATACACAGGAAGCAGAGGCTGCAATCTAGTCCTGACCACAGATCATTATTGGAAGAAAAAGCTTATTCATAAAAATTTCCCATTCCCCATTTAGAATATTAACCCTTTTTCCAAAAGCCACCAACATAGCATGAAAATGTCTGAGAGTTTTTTTCGAATTCTGCCATTTTCATCAAGCTTTTCTGATGCAATACTTAAAAATGCACATTAGACAAAGCTGATGGAAACATGTTATAACAGCATTTCAACCTATGACCTGGAACCAGTGGGATTTTGTAGTTCAGTTTTTTTTTTTTTTCCTTTTGTTTTGTTTTTTTTAAGTTTTAGCAAGCGACAACATTCTCTAGCAAATACACAGAAGAACTGCTGTTCACAGTCACTGATTACACCAAGAAAACCTCAAACGTTATGACAGAATGTTGTCGATCACATAACTTACTACTAAATTCAACTGACACAAAATCTCCAAATTAATATTTGCTACTGCCTTTTAAAGGAATTGAAATTAGAAATTTTGTCTTTATGGGTCAAAGATTGACAAACCGAAGCCTAGAAAAACAACCTAATCTATTGATGTGTGCATCTCTAGAACATACCCTGGGCTAATGTGTAATAAATGCATTATTACTTCATCATTTACAGAGATTCAAAAAGTTTAAACTTGGATGATCTAAACTTTCTTATACGTACTTGATGTAATAGGGAACCTTGTTCTGAGACACTGCACGTTGCCAGGGGAGCTGTACAGATGCTGCAAACAAAAAAAGGAAAAGATTAGATTAGAATTTAAGACAAACAAAAAAAAAAGAATCAGTTCAGATTAAAACTCAATGGTAATAAACGCCTCTTGCACAAAACCAATCATCTTAGTGATCAAGCCAGACTTGAAATAATCTCAAATTTTCATATTAATGCAGGAAATCATTTTAATATCTGTTGTGGTGTTAAATCCAGCTAAACAGCGGCACTCAAGACGCTCTCCTCCGAGGCAATAAGCAAAAGAAATGTGTTGTAATTTATCGGCATACCACTTCCCCACCTCCATAACACGGCTTAACACTCAGATAGAGAGATGAAAAGACAGTAAGAGAAGAAGATTAAGCAAGATTGGGAGATATATATGAGATGGAGAGGGTAAGATAAGAACACAGTACTTTATTGATCCCCGAGGGAATATTAAGCTACTAGGGTAATGAGAGTGAATGTGTGATGTAGGAGATAGTGTCATAGTGTCAGATGAAAGACGACTGGTATTTTGTCTGGTCTACTAGCTGAGCTCTCAGCAGCGCTTGCTCAGTAAATTTGAGTCTGGCTGTGACGCAGCGTGGTGACTGAACACCTGCTCTGAATCACACGCAGAGCATTTAGTCTCCGTGCCTGACAGCCAGTAAAAAGTATCAGGTGGAGCTCGCAGAACTCTGATGGCTGGATGATGAGAGAGGCATGGGGAGGACGAAAAAGGCTGCTTTGTTTAATGATTCTGAATTTGTCTTCCTCTGTTGAGCTCAGTCTCCAACTTTCTGTACAGAGCTAATGACCACTTAAAAGAGGGAGGTAGGAGGCGGGAGTCACTAAAGCTGTCATTAAGCATTGCATTATGAAAAAGTAAAGTGTGGCTAATCTGCAGACTCTGAAAGGTGCTGAATGCCAATACTTTTTCTTATGCATAGTTATAGGGAGTTAGAGAGAGAATTAATCTGGGAAGCCAGATAGATAATGTGTCGCACTTTCAGGTAAAGGAGGGGCATACAGCAGCTGATTGGGTGAAGTTGGGTTTTAGCCAATCACGGTAACGCTTGAAGATGTGTTAAGCAGAAGGAGCCTTCAGTGACTACAGCACATTTGTAGCGTTCCTCTATTTCTTTTAAGGGATGAAGTGGATTCTGACAAAGCAGATGTGATAGAAAAAACTACGCCTGCGCCCTCCTTTCAGTTCGGCTGTAAGCTCATCGCTTTTATCTGTTCCGCCTTAAATCAAAAGACTGCAACATGATTGGCCGACCCAACGGCTGAAGTGGGATTCTAGATTGATTCCTGGATGTTTGCGAACCCACAAATATCGTGAGAAATCTGCCTGCAGGGAAGGATAACGGGAAATACCTTAAAATACATTTACCTTTTGTTGGCCTTGGGAGATTTTATAAAGCTGATGCTCCACCAGCAAATATGATACAAAGTTAAATGTCCATACAGATAACATTTTTATAGCAAATAACCACATTGATGTCATGTTTGATTACTTAATTCTTACACATTTTGTCCATTTCTGTTAGTCTGTCATACCAAATATCGTAATTTTTACATACTTACAGTACACTTAAAAATAAACATACTTAGCTATACTGGAAAAATTCAATACTAAATACACAATTTGAAATACCACTTCAAACTTTTATTATGTAAGAAATACAAAAAAACTCTAAGATAAAAAAAAATTCTTAAAGTATCTTAAAATAGTTTTATTTTTTAAAATTAAATTATATAAGCAGGTTTTTTCCCTGATAGCTATTTTTTACTTTTAAAAAATTGCTTTAACAGATTTTCATGTTCAGCTGCTTTGTCTGTTTTTTTATATTGTCTAAGAGAAATGGGTATTTTGAGTAAAAAGAAACAGGGATAACTCAATTAAAGTTCATAAAATCTCTGATAAACCCAAAATTTAAAGCTAATTTAAAAACTGTCTTATTAATATTTTTTTTTTCTTTACCCATTGTGGTTCTGGCAGTTTTGTAAAATAAAAGGCTGAGCAGTAAGGAAGGGAGCCAGGGCATAGTAATTGCAATTTATCGTTATTCTTTTATCCCTCTGAATCTTTCTCACTAGTGCGGCACCATGTTTATCGAACGTAAACCGAATTATTTTGGCTTGTTAGATCAGACGCCTCTGGCGCGGTGTGTTGACATCCATACGTTGCGATCAAAGGCATCACGTATATTAGGAGGACGGCCCTTTTCTGGTGTTTCCACTGTGTGCCGATCGGAGCCGAGCCGTTTCAAGGCGATGTTAACACAGGTTGCTTGCAGAGTCGTTTGACTTGGATCCACACGGGTCAGTGAGCTGACAAGTTGACAAGGCCACTAAAAGCCAATTGTTCCCGGGTTTAAACAGGTTTTTCAGCCGGAGGTATAAGGCAAGGTATCTTAACCCTGGTCCTCAGGGCCCACTGCCCTTTATCTGTTACATGTGTTTTTACTCATGCATACCTGATTGAAATCATTGCATTCCCTCCTATGCAGCCTTCAAATGTTATTTATCACGTTTTTATTCAGGCCAGGGGTATGAAGACAGGGAAACACCTAAAACATGTAGGACAGTGGGCCCTGAGGTCCAGGGTTTAGAAACCCTGGTCTTCTTCGACAGCTACTGAGTTCTACTCACTGGAGAGGAAATGCTGAGAGGAGGGGCCAAAGTCTCTGTGAGCTTCCTGAAGGAGTTTCAGTCTGTCCTCCACTGCTACCTGTGAAAACATTAAAACACAGTGTATGTAAAAAATACATTTAAAGACAACAAAACTTTATGTCATATGTGGAGTGAAGTCAATTTAAATATTCCACAAGATAGGATTATAAAACCATCTAATATCACATCCTCAGTGGTGAAGGAATACTTTTTATAAAAAATAAATAAATCCTGAGTCCCAATTATAACCTCTGTAATGGCAACTTCCCTTCAACTTTTTATACACTTAACAGTCCAAAATTATCCTGTTTCATTCCAGCTTAATGCATTTTAAGTCCACTTGTGGGACGAAACTACAGTTTGGCCCAGAGCAATTAAAAAATACATAAAAAATTAAGTCTATCTGGCTTTCCTTCAGGGAAACAGGGACAGGTTTATGCAAAGGCTAAGCAATAAACAATGCAGTCATGCATCAATCAGTCAAGGCCGTGCATCTCTGCAGACAGCACTGTTCGTCTTAAGCCCTCTCAAAATGGTAATGGCATGGTCAGCTACATACGACTTGCGCCTGTCAGAATCAACAAATAAGCCTTGTCCAACAGCGAAGCAGAGTTCTGCCAGTTCCACCAACTAACTCGATCATTATGGGAAGGCCTGACAGGCATGACAGTGAAGAAGTGTCTCTGCAGCTATTAGATCTACAGCGCTGACTTACAAGGAGCCAAACACAGGACAAAAACTCCAGGAAGCCCTAACAAAAATTTAATAAGCAAATGTTCAAAACAAATGTTAAATACTTTGAGATATTTTAAGAGATGTATTGATTTTAACTAGGGGTGATATTAGATTTTATGGAGGAAAAAGAAAATTGACATACGCCTCTTTTCCATTGCCACTCAAAAGCCTTTAGAAAGCCCAGGGAGAATTTCCACTCAAGTTTTTACTTCCCCAGGTTCCACCAAAGATCTTATTCTTTCTTATCTTATTCTTATTCATTCCTGAGGTTTGTCGATAGGTGGGGTTGTTTATAGCTGTAGTGCTTAGTTCCAACAGCGGTAACAGTAGCACATGAAGATGAGTCTACAAAAGGTTTTATACTTTCAGTTTTTAACCGTTTTGAGATGTTTTTAAGCAAGAAAGTACACCCCATACCGCCATCTGTGTCTAACCGCTCTAACCACATCAATAATGTCACCCAGTTATTTAGCATTATTGCTTTATTGTTTTAACACACAAAGCTGAGTTAACTTAGTTAATTTGGCTGAAAAGCTGCGACAGTTTCCTTTCTGTCATTTGAAAGGAAATGATGGAGTAATGATGAGACACATAAGATTCAAAAAACGTGTTTAACTTCAATAAAATATCAAACAATCCTCGTAAAAGGGATGCAGTCTACCTGTACGTAAGTGAGAATGTGTTCATGAGAACTACCAAACTGCATAATTACCACCCCGATAATGCCATTTAAGCCAACATTTGACTGAGGGGACGACTTCCCACGCTTTTCAGAAGAAATGGCTTTGAAGACAAAGAAGGACAACTTTACAGGTTTGAAAATAAAGGAACTGAGGACTGAGAGCTGAGTGGGAGAATTAAAAGACCGTTAGAGCTGTAAAATAAGGCGGTTGTAGTTTTAAAGAAATAAAAATAAAAGAAAATTAAATATTAAAAAAAAAATATAACTTGATCCAAAAACAGTCAAACTACTGATAGAGGCTGGAGGTGCAGCATATGATGTAAATACTGAACATGAGTTCACCGTTGACCACAAAGTCAAAACATTCTGCAAAATGTTATATAAGCATGTGTCTATTGTACATCGCCAGACTAAGTCTGTTATCCCTTCATCACATTCTCTAGCTCTCATAGAACGCATACCAAAAATGTTAACAGCAAAAACTCTTAACTTGAATCATTCAGACAGACCCAAACATTCCACATTTTTGCAAAAAACAAAGCCAAGGAGCTGCAATGGACTGAAATTAAGTGTTTCTGTGTTGCTGAGCTTTCTATTCATTTTCTGTTCCAGAGGTTTCAAAAGTAGCTTGATTTATGACTGTATTTTGTACTTTTTGACGAACTGACAAATTAAACCAGTAACCCCCCGGATACCGAAATGCCAGCTGTAGGTGTAGTGACCGATAAAAAAAAAGTAGTTTTATAATTGCAGAGTTGCATAATATACAATGATGTAGCCCGATAAAATGTACAATTGCTTCCAAGTAAAACAAATGTGGTCATTTTGTAAAATACTAGGTTTGAATAACAGCCGACTGATCGCGCAAGACTCCAACATCAAGTATTGAGCACTCGTAACATTTGTTCGTACCTAAAAGAAGATTAGATCTCCCAAAACACTCGTACAAACGATTTAAGAATACCTTTGCTTGTATGAACGGTTCTTGTGTGAGGCCAAATATCTCAGACAATAAATGTCTCAAAGATTACTACGTTTTTTTGTTTTTTGTTTTTTGAGAAATTACGTGACGTTTGAGTATTGTGTGTGAAATTAAAAGTATGTTCAAGAAAGCAAATACGGTACATAAAAATGCAAGTACATGCTTACCACTTATATGACAGCAAATCATAAGTTTAAAACACAAACAGTGAGAAAAATAGTCAGTCTTTGTGTCCGGGGGATAAAAAGTAAAGCTTCACGCTTCGTCAATCACAAAAAACCCATTAAAGGCCTCGTGTTGACATCTCAGCCCGCACACCTGTGCTCTGTTTGCTTTGCCTCCTTTCGTGTGGCAGCACAGGGACACTCTCACATCTGCACAGATATGATGACAGCCAGCTTACAGATGTCCACACAGTGATCGTGGCTGTGGGCACAGAAAGGCCAGTAGTTGGGTCTCTGGTTTTTATCGTCAGATAATGACTTCTTATGCCTTCTCTACCACAGCGAGAAAGATGGTGACTGTCTGCATATGCAATGAAATCATCAGGCGGCAAAGTCGGACCAGGCTTATTAGAGAATCCTGCAGGCTAAAACAAGACAAGTTAAAAAAGGACCAGTACTATAAAAACAGTTATTCTCTGCCACAGTGTTTGAGTTATGGTCTCATTAACATAAAAGACCATTATTGCTAGTCTTTGCAGTCCCTGGAAATATCACATCACTACTATTTAGTCCTGTTTGGCAATTTCTCCCTGAAGTACAGTCGAGCTTAAAAACAAAGAACAATCTAAGAAATTTTTTTTTTTTTTTGTCCAAAATGATGTTTTTTTTGCTCAATAAATCTTTGAGTAATTAAATGCGAAGTGTGGAAATACTGTCAGTATCCTTCAAAATCAAGGCATCATTAGACGCATAAGGCATGACCAGCACATTCTGGATACCAGCATTAATTATATTGGCTATCCCAGTGTCTGTTTTAATTGGAAAGGGACAAAGAGCGAAAACGCTTGGACAGATTTAATCCATAGTTGTGGAATTCTATCCATCGCAAACCCCAATTTATTAAAACATCTGCATAAATATATTCTATTACTCAGGAATAAAAAAAAAATGTTCACTGTTCATGACTAGTAAAGAAATGTTTTCTCTTTTTCTCTTCAGGGCTAGACACGCTCCAGTCTGAGAAAGCTCAGCAGGCACCACAGCGAATCAGACCAAGACTATCAAGCATGCAGAGAGCCAGAGATGTGACTGGGGCACTTTGAGGACAACATCCACTGATGTGCACAAACAAAGTGCTGCACAAAAGTCGAATCGCTGCATAGAATCAAAGAGAGAAAGATAACAGAGGCAGGCAAATACACCAAAGAGAGAAATATTTGGACATCAATATGAAACAAAAGAAAACAAAAAGAGGGAAAGTATTTTTATCTACCTGCAGAATCTTCCATCTCATGTTGAGTTGGTCCAGTTGTCTGGAGGCAGTAGACGACAGCTGAATGTCCAGCGGTGTAAGCTCAGCAGCAAGCTCGTTGACCACCCGGACATCCTGACGGAGGGGGGCGATCTCCTCCCTGAAGGCCTGAAAGTACAATTACAGTTTAATTTCCCCCCTGGGTGTCAATCTGGTCCAAACGGCAACACGTTTGCCTAGTTGTCATGAAAATGAACAGAAAGTCTAAATAAAATACTAATGAGAAAATATGCATTTAAGGAAGATGACTTTCTTTGCCATCATCATTGCTGTCATTCAGATGGTCTTCCATCTCTTTGAGATGAGACGCTGAATATGATGAATGGGACCAACTAATGACAGAAACAACAAACCAGAGGCAACAGCAACTGGGAAGGAACTGTGTTGTATAAACAGAGTCAGTAAAAATTTACATACAACCAGAGTGCCCTTCCCTTTTATTGGTATGACTAGTAAAGTTCCTAAAAAACCCATCTAGTTTCTATTTGGGTAGCAAAATACACATTAAAAAAGTGTTGGAAGCTTTCACTCTTTAATCTGGTGGCCAGGTACCAATAGTTGCCACAATAACCACATTGCCTTTGGTACATCACTTAATCTCCTCTATTTCTCTTTCCTTGGCTAAACCTCAGGTTTTCAATCCAAGATCCCCTGGTATTGGGTTACATCTGTTTGCAGCCTCCAGTCTGGTATTTTTACATGTATACAATTTGTATCTTGCAGAAGATAACACAGGTAAAATAAATATGCACCTCAAGGGGACAACTTCAAGATAATCTAATATTATTCTGTTAGATTTAGAACGGATTGAGGGATTTATTTAAACAGATATGTCAGCACAATTTTTCTGTACTTTACTCCGCTGCAATAAACAAAGAATGGAGCAATAAATATACATTAATTCTGTATAGATCTGATATCTGCCACGCTTATAAACCATTTGATGTCTTTTTTTAGGATTTCATTATGAAATGAGAGATGGAAAAACAAGGATGTCTTGTTCTAAGGTGCATGTAATTTCTAAAACCTGTAATAACGCATAATCTATGCTCAAATCCTTTAGTTATCCTGTTCAGAAGCCGGAATTTCTTCTCTGGTTTATTCTAGACAAAAAAGGACAGGGTTAAAGATTTGCTTTCTCCACTGACTTAGAATTACAGGTTAAGGACTGATGGGGAATTTTTTATTGTAAAAAAAAAAAAAAAAAAAAATCAGCCGTCCAAGCAGAAGTTAAAGTTGCAGATAGCTTAACCTGAGCTACATGCTATCTCTACCTGAAGTATTTGTCCAGAGGCAGAGATCAAAGTGAAGGCAGGGCAGTGTTGCCTATCGACCGGCTAACGTGATCAAACAGGGCTGGTTGACAGCAGTAAAAGCAACTTAACGCTGCTTTTCATGGTAAACTTCACAGATGCATATTCTCATTACAAATACAAAGAGTTTCTGTAGTTAAATGTGAAATCCCAACAAGGCAAGCTAAGAAAAAAGAAAAATGGCTGAAGATGTGTTAGTGTTGCAGCCATAACACTTATAATACAGTATTTCTTTTTGTTAGTTTATAGTATATTTACTTTTGGTTAACAATGTATCATTCAGAATGAGGATTGAGAGGAATACATCTAATGTAAAGGATATAAAATGGAACTTCCTACAAAATAACCGCAACAATAAAAAGACACAGAAAGAGGTTAAACACTCAAAAAGGGGACATACAGTAGTGGCAGCGCGGGCATCTCAAACACATAAATAATTATTCCAAGATGGGGCCTTAGAGAGTTAGAGAGACATGCCAGCAGCCACTTTACTTTCAGAATATTGTGAATAAGAGCCACGCCTTCAGCCCTACAGAGACACCAAAATGTCCTGGATTTCATTCACTCTTAAGAAGTTTCCTGGTTAAATGGAAGATAAACAGGCCAAAAGCACCACAGATACTTCACTACTGAGTGTGATGCATTCAACTAAAGACCCACCTCAAGCCCGATTTATGCTTGACCTGTCTACAACATCAGTGTTGCCAAATTACATATTTAAGCACCTACGTCCTTCCATGCAGCATCCAGGTGGCCTGATTTTATGCACAGCGCACCAAGCAAAATATATGGAGCTCTGCGCAGAAAAACATGGTGGACAACAGACAGCTCCTACTGTCTGGGGTTCACCAGTATAAACATCCATAGATAACACTTAATTTGTATAGTAAATATTGATATGATAAAGAGATTGTGATCAGGTATTGCAAATAAATTATTGTTACCTCTGGGTGAAACAAAAAGCCTTTGAAAATGTTGGTAAAAACTGTTTTCTACGTCTACGTGTTGCATGGTGCTCTAAGCTTGTTGTTTGTGCCCAATTTGCCTCGCTAGAGCCAGAATATTAGGTACAGAGGAAAAAGCTAAACAGAGTATAGAATTTTATTTCCCTTTGTGATTAATAAAGTATTTTTAATTGAATTTATAGGCTTTAAACACTGCATTCCCTGCACCTTAATTCCATGCAGAACCTGTGTTTCAAGCGTAAGTCTTTTATCCTAAACAAGTCAGCAAGTAGAAACAACCTATTGTTTCTTATAACATAATCTGCTTAGAGCACTTGCTGGCAAACATATATTTTAATCTTATATACATTAAAAGTATGACATAGGAAAAGAATAGTAGTAGTAGTAGTAGTAATAGTGATTTCTTGGCGTAAAATACACAAAACATTCACAATCAAGTTGCTTTTGAACTAGAAATTTATGAATAATTTAAAATATTTGGACACAAAATTTTTAACAGACATGTTATATGTCAGCCTGTGAGTTTAACCTATGTCATTTAAATTATAAATCAAACGGTACTGACAGAAGCAAACTGCTTTAACTCACTGATGTCTTATCAATGTGGTCCTGAAGAGAGTCGATAAGCAAATCGCCCACCGGCTGCCAGGTAGCTTTGGTCTCCTCTGCTCTGGTCAGCTGCAGGTCCAGCTGGTCCATGGAGCTCTGCAGGTCCTGCAGGCGCTCCAAGGTTTGCTCCACCTGAGTCTGCCAACCTCCCACATGCCCCTTCAGACGCTCCCACCGCTCCCTCACCTCACCGGTCTGCTTGCGGATGGCCCGGGCCAGACCTCGGGCCTTCTCCTCTGGGGTGAGGTCGGCTGAAATTTTAATGAAGAAGAAAAAAATGTTTTTTTATTCATCCTTTAATAAAATCTTAACTGTGACTTCAATTATATGTAGTTGGTAACAAAAAGAACAATTATTTTAAAAACTAGGCAATATTCAATTCAATTTTCTAGTCATGTTATTTTAGCAATTTAAATGCAAAACTAGAACTTAATATTTTTCTGCATTTTGGACAGCTCAATAAAAATTTTGAAATCTCTAAATGGACAAAAACTTGTTTAATTAAATTTTTGCTTAAAAGCAACAGTATGCACTGGTGAATATTTCAAATAACCCATTTGCTGCGTAAGGCTTTCTTTCCATTGTCTACCAGCCAGGAGATTCAGTAGAGACTAAGCGACCTCGATAATATTAAATTACTGACTAAAATACACTTAAAAACATGGCAGTTTCAAGATAAAATTAATAATATAACACAGAAGACATGCATGATGTTGCAGGGATCTAGAAATGTTCTACATTTTCCTAAATTACATTTTCTACATCCATAATCTTTTGTGTCAAACTCTGCAACAATAATACTGAATAAAAGCTTTTCTGTCCACCATAAATTACCATTGCCCCTGGGGTTTATATTTCATGTTACTCCTTTCATAATTAATCACAAGTTGACTAAAAACAATATACCCAAGATTAAAGATTAGCTTTCCTCATTATTTTTCTTGTTTTATCCAAGCTGCAGCATCAAAGCTGCACACAAGCCCCCAAAACCCTAATTACTTTATGGTGCAAATTCACAAATAAAAATAAATCAATATCTCAACTCAAGCTGAACCAGAACATTTCATAAGATTGGCTGCAGCAACTCTTTAATTGTAAGGTTGAGCTTTTAATTTGAAATTTTGTGTTTCCTTTGTGAATTAAGAAAAATAACTGACAAAATAAGAAGCAAACAGAGGGAAGGAGAAGGCAGCTATGATGAAGTGGCTGGAATAAAAAAAGAGAGAGAAAGCAGGAAAGGTGAATGGATAGGGTAATTGCTAAAGATCAGATGATGCCACCAGAGAAAAGAAAGCCAGCAGAAGCGATAACTGCTCCCTAAATAACATTTTAACTGCTGAGAAAGATGAGCAGCCTTTATGAGTTCTAAGGTCTCATCTCCTGTGTGGCGACTGAAAAACCATCTTCACCTGTTGCACCTCAGTTATCTTTCTCCTTTTATTGTCAGTCTCTCCCGGCTCTCTGCAGGCACACAAGCGGCAGAAAATAAAGCCGTGGCCTCCATATAGACACTTTTTTCCGACATCTCAGATGATAGGTAAATCTTGAGACTATAATGATGCATTGCTTTTCGCTCACAGAACCCATTGACCTTACATTTTCACTTTGCTTCATTACATTTTCAAAGCCAATGTGCCAACTTATCCAAAGCATCTTTCCTTCATTTACCAGAGAAAGAAAGGATGAGCTGAATGAGTCGATGCACATTTTATTTCTAATTTTCTAGCTATGTCTCATTGTCTATTGAGAACTAAGTGAAAGGCATTTAAAGGTCACCTTATCCAAGCACAGGCAGCATCCTTTAAACATTGTTAAAAAAAGAAAATGCAAAGGTTGCCTTGTGCAAACATTGGTTATTGCTCATGAAAATGCAAATAAAAATGTTTAAAAAATCTAATTTATTAAGATATCTGTTTAAGCCAATTGTTTTCTTTATGTAATATACTCATAGCATCATTAAATATGCTAAAAGATCTATGGGCAGGTTTTTGCACAAACATCTTCATTGTGCAAACACAAAATTAAAATCACCAGAGAGCCTCACTAATGAATTAACTACCTATCCATTACTGTTTTTCAATCATGAACTAATAAGATCTTAGCCAATTTAAATAGACACAATCTTCCAATAAAAGCTTAATAAAAACATCACATGTAATTCCAGAGCCGTCACAGTGAAAATCAAGTGGATGTGGTACTGATGAGAAATAAGGATAGCATTTCCTAATACAGTTTGGTAATTAGAGGGTAACAATGAAGTGAGAACTCTGAAATAAAAGTATATCAATTGGATAAGAGATAGGAAAAGACAAGAGGAAGGACACAAAGAAAAGACATGTAGAAAAGCAGAAGAAGAAGCAGAATTAGGAAAACAAAGGAATGAGACAGTAATAGGAGACAAAAAAATGAAGGGACCACGGGAGATGGATAGAGGAAAGAAAGGGCAGAACAAAATTCACCAGACCTGGAAATTCCTAAATGAAACTCCACTGTATCAGAGGAAACCTAAAGAACACTTATATTTTCATGTAATGAGGTGGAAATAATTCACACAGCTAGATAATCCTGCTGATTTCCCCTCTGTTCTTACACTTCCGGGCCCAATAATCTGGGATATAATCCTACTGTGAATGATATTCCTGATGTTCTACTGCTCGAAAGAACATCAGGAACCCTCTGATCTCAGAGAAATTAAACATGAAGGACTGCGTCCTGTCCTTTAAATACATCTGAGAAAGAAACCTTCAATAACATTCTACACTATTATCTCTTTATTATGAGCAGTGTCGTTTGGATCTGCTTTACCAAAAATAATCCGCATTTAAAACAAACCCAGGACCAGAAATAAATGAAGCGCCACTCAAACTATGATCACAGTGTAAACAGACTTTCATTGAAGCTTTTTTTTAACCAATTTTCATCAAAAAGTGCTTTATTCTTCCATCTTTAGCATAAAACTGTCCTAACAACAGAAGTGAGAGCTCTGTCTGCTATCCTTATTTCTCATCAGATCATATTCATTTTGGAATATGAGCACATGACCTGACACTGTCATGACACTGTGCACTCCCAGATGATCAGGGGTGAAAAAGCTACATTTCAAAGGGCCTTTTCTTTCTCTCACAGATGCAAAAGCACACTCAAAACAGCAAGCATATAATACAATAATGAAAACAAGCCTCTTTTGAAACAACTGTGTATATTGTACTAAAATTCACAACTTGGGAGTGCACGACAACTCAGAACTCAAATTAACTTATACCAATGTCTCTGTTTATCTATTAAATTATAGTGTTTAAGCACTGACCTTTAGGCCTTGCTATTAGGTTCTCTGTGCAGAAAAGGAATATTATCCACAGTCAATATCTGCATTTATATGCGTTTCCGTTGCTTAAAGGTATAGTGGAGGATGTTCTTTTTTATGGTGGATCATTAAAATAAGTGGTCCTCCTAATTGTCAATCATTCTGGTGATGTATTTACGTAAGGCCATCCTACTGGTTCGTCCCCATTTTCACTCATCGGTGGAGAGTCTGACATAGAGGAAAAATTACAAATCTTCTTTTGGAAAATTTGTTTGTATGATCGATGCAGACAGCAACTTTTAACAACTTTTTTTTTTTTTTTTTTTTAGTAGAGAGGCCAGGTCTTTTCCAAAATTCACAAATATTCTTCACTATACCTTTAAAAACAATCCACCCAAAGTATGTTTGCTTTTGTGCACCAAGCTGTATTAGAAGGTGGAACCCTGATAAGTATTTAGACATGGCAAAACTGAGAAAACCATGATAGTAAAAGGTGGAAATTACATAAACTAACACTCAGCACATGTATGCAAACAGATGATTCCAAAGAAAATATGCAGCTAACCAGTCTTTGGCTGCAGGTTTTTCCGTGGTTCTCCTGGTCCTTCAATGGGTTGGTCAGCAAGAAACATCCTGGCTTGGTCCAACGTGCTGATCACCAACTGTTCACGCTCCTTCAACTCGGAGCAAAGAGCCTGGAGGAGAAAACAAAAGCTGTGAAAAATGGAGCTTTAATAACTCTGAAAAAGGGGAGTTTATGACAAAAATGTGACCAATCATAATAAATTATTTGGAAAATTAAAGAAGTATTTCAAAACGGCATAATGACTTTGCAATTTGGTGCAATGTGATTCATATTCTCTAAATGTGTTTGTGTCTGAACTACAAATGAACCCAGGGCTGGGTTGTTATTTTCAACACATTACAGCTAAAGAGGTCAAATCAAGCAGCTATGCCATAATTGTAGCAGTTCTCAAGACAGGCGTGCCGAGTGTACCCAGACATTTTCTGTACCTCCGTAAAATTGGATGAGCGGTGAACTGAAGCAAGAGGAAGTGAGCTTGCATGAATAATAACCGTTAAGTCAACTGGTAACGTCACCTGTTTTGCTTTACGTTGCACCGAGAATCTTACACTGTGACAAGTCTCCTCATCGTCACATGCAGAACCATTTAGTTAAACACCATAAAGCCGGAAGCTCCATCAAGGGAGAGAACTTGGGCTGTTGTGATATAATTACTCTTAAAATGTAGATATATGTACTGCATATACAGGCAAACTGTGTGTGACACTATTGGGCGTCACTGCTTAGTGGAGTGTGTGATTGCTTTGTTAAAAGCCCATGTAGTTTAAGACACTGTGAAGCAAGTTCATCAAATTGGATGATTCACTTAAATAAAGTGGTACACTTATCAAAGCGACAAGGTCTGCAAAATCAGGAGGCCAGAAATCATCTGAACAGACGATACTGACCAATGGCCAGAGGAAAACACACTGTTTTTAGATTGATTACTTAGTCTTACAAGGTGGAGCCACTTTTTTTCTCTTATTTCTTAAAACGTTAATAAAATGCATCATGGTAGGGAGATAATTCCTCTTAGATTTAAAGTTCACACCACTCTGACATAAATTTCACCCATAATCATGCGCTCAGTCATGCTGAAATAGAACATGACGCTCAACTAAAATTGGACTATATGCTGATAAATGGCTACTGTAGCTTCATTCCAATGACTTTTTACAAATTCACAAAGCAGACATGCATTTAACACAAAGGTGAGACAAAAAATAAGAAAGGACACTTTAAACTGACTTACAAACCCAATTAAAATTTGGCTGACAAACAAATACCATTGCTTTAAGGGTTTCTTCTTAATTCAATTGAATTCAAACACTTTATTAATCCTAAAGGGAAATTAAATGCAGATACTAATAGGTTTTTTTTAACCAGTTGTTGTAGGTGTTGATAGCTGTAGGTGGGAAGGATTTGCTTATAGTGCTTAAAGGCTTGTTTTTTCCTGTTAAGGAGTTGCTTTATATCACTTGTGATCCATGGTTTATTATTTGGGAAGTATTTCACTGTTCTGGGAGGGATTTTGTTATCTACACAGGAGTCTATGTAGTCAGTTACAAAGATTACAATACGTTGCATTGATGTCCTCTCCATGTGGCTGACAAAGTGCACTCCAATCTATAGCCTCAAAACAAACTTGCATGGCTTCTTCAGCTTCCTTATACAATCTTCTTATAGTTCTTTCGTTTTGTGGGTTTTCTCTTATAAAGTGCTTTATAATCTGAGCAGAGAAATACAATATTATGGAATGATTTGAAAAGAGAAGGTCTTTACAGATGTAGGAGTCCTTGACATTTGCATAAAACAGGACCAAAGTTTTGTTTTCTCTGATACAGCAGCTGACAAACAGCTGGAATGTTGGCAGTGTAGCAGAGATTAAGGTGTGATTAAAATCACCAGTTATTGCCACAAATGCATTTGGCTGTTGTGTCTGGAGCTTAACAATAACAGAACTTAATACCTCTGATTCAATGCCAGCAATAGCACAAGGTGGGATGTAAGCAGTTACTAAGAGATCACTGCTGAACTCTTTGGGCAAATATGACTGAAACCAACTGCAAACAGTTCAATATCTTCGTTGCAGTAACTAATCTTCAAAGTAACATGTCCTGGATGACACAATCAGTTTTTCACAAACGCTGCCAACCCGCCTCCTTTGAATTTTCCAGTCTTCTTTAAATCTCCGTCTGCTTGTATGGTCAGAAAGCCTGGCAGAGAGACGCTGGAGTCCGAGATAGTATCCTGCAGCCATGTTTCAGTAAAACACATAATGCTGCATTGGTGATATTCTGTCTGGCAACTTGCTAGGGCTTGGAGTTCTTCTGACTTGCATCCTAAAGATCTCATATTGCCAAAGATTACACTTCTTGTTTCTCTCTCGTCTCCGTGCACCTGCTCTGCATCCCTGGCGGCTCCTTTACAACTCAACTCACTCTTGCAAAAGTAGTTTATATAGTATTCCAGCTTTAGAGATGTTAGTTATCTACTTTCTAATATCTAATAATATCTACTTTCTATGGTTGCTGTGGTTACGGATCATATGAAGCATCAACAAAGGAAAAAAATATAAGTACAAATCCTTTCAGTTTAACAGCATTCAACACCACAAGCATAAAACATCAAAAACAGAAACTATGATCCATAAACCAAAAAACTAAAGTTCTTGTGATAAAAAAAAGTTTTAGAGTCAAACTAGCAGAGGTACAGTACACTTAGCCACATAGAGCAGTGCTGATTATTTAAGGGAGCTTCAAAGAACTAAACATTACCATCCTTTGTTAAGTGGGAACTTGGAGGGGAAAAACATTTCTTCAATAAAATGACCAAGTAAGAAAAGACACAAATGCTATTTAGTCTCGTCACAGTGTTTTTCCTCTGCTTGGAATTATAAAGATTGCTTCTGAAATGAACTGTAGACAGGCTAAACCTAATGGCACCCCTAATGTACAAAATTAATGCATCCTTTGTTACAGCAGCATTGTGTCACACTAACAGCTTTTTAAAACTCAAACCTTTTAAGTATATTCATTCAGTGCATTTAAATACTCCCTTTAAGATTCAATAATGTTAGAGTAGCTATTTTAACAAATAAAAATGACTGTTGCTGCAGTTTTTGGCATCTGAAGCAACTTTTTAAATAACAGACTTATATGAAACACTTTTATTTATAATTTTTTTGTGATATCCATTTCTTTTATTCACTGGTCATCAGAAATCATCATGCAATAAAGGGTAAGCAGGACGGTAAAGGTGGCAACAACAAATACTCTCAATTTCAGTCTCATCTTAGTAGCACCCATCAAATGTTATCTCCATCCACTCTAGATGGGAGATTAGTCTGGAAAAGATAACTGCAATAAATAAATAAAATTTTTTGAATTAAAAAAATTGTGGTTCCTGCAAAACAAATAATTTGGCTCTATTTGTTTTTTAAAGTAGTAAGATGACGCAAAATATGTTACATTATCATTTTACAATCACCAAAGTCACAAAAATTATTTTATGGCCCTCTCTTTCCACATACCTCAATCCTATGGATTACCTCTAGCGTGACCAGAAAAATGGAGCATGAGAGGACGCGGGATTCAGGATGACCTTGAGAGATTGGGTCAGAGATCCATCTATCTCAAAGCTCCAAGTTTATGAAATACTGAAATAGAAGATTAAATGCTGTTCTATTGACAAAGTGGAAATATACCAAGCAATAACTAAAGATTTTTATTGCACTGTACGGCACGAAGTAAATACCTTAAAAACGAAAAAGAAAATTTAACTTTTGTATTAAATATCATCAAGAAATTTAATTCAAAAATATATTTTTATACAGTTTCTTTCTTCAACGTGTTCATATGAGCAAGAAGGATCACCTGTAGAGGTCAGTAATAGAGTGGATCTGGGGAAGCCTCTGACTAAAGAACCTCTGTTCTTGTATGACAGTCTGATAATGTTTTCCAGAAAATCTTTCTTTACAAATCCGTCTCCAAATATACCGGCTCCCCAGAAAAGAACCGACATTTTTAATATCTGGTTCTGATGCCGCTACCCAAAATGATGAAGGCAGAAGATATCACACTTCTGATTATTTTAAAGAGGATTTGCAGCCTATTCCGGTAAACACCTGATGACCTTAGCTTCATCGAAATGTTCAGTCTGCTATCTTTCTCTTGAAACCTAAAATCTTCTTTGTTTTCTTCGGATTTAACATAAGATGACTTGGATAATAATAATATAATATATATAATATAATAAATAATATATATAATATATAATATTATAACTATGTAACATTTAAGTAAATTCTCTATCATAGATTTCTGCAACCTACCAATTAACAGAAAGTGCATAACAGGAAACATCTTAAACAATATATCAAAGAAAATACAAGGACACACTTTGCTAATGTTTCCTTAGAGGCATGCATATGGAAAAGGCTAACCTTAATTTAAAAATGAATAAAAGAAATAACATTAGTATACACAAATCCCATATGGTTTATGGAGGATGAAACAAAGCCTTGAAAAGCAAACATAAAACCAGAAAAACTTTGGCTTTTCATGTCCTTTAGATACATTTGTACAACCAAATAATCACTATATGATGTGGAAAAGGCCAGAGAAATGTGTGACTCTTATAATATGTTGTAATGCTCTTGTGAGATATCTTGTCACTAGAAGTCACCCTGACCTTGGCTGTGTGTGTGTATTTTTGCAGGTGAAGTATTTTGCCTGGGTGCTTACATTTGTGTACAGGTCATCATAAGCGTGCTTCCTGAATGTCGCTGCAGACTCTTATCTCCATGTGCTCTGTGCTTTGGCGCCAGCAAGATAACATCAACACACAGCTTCTTTCAGAGCTCTGGCAAACATCCCTCTTCCTGCTCTCAAAATCCTACTTTCTGTCTCCCTGCAATACACTAAACAACTACATCGTCCTCCAGGAAGAAAAAAAAAAAAAACATATTACGCTCACATCGAAATAAATTATAAGACACTGATGAATTCCCATTTCAAGGAGACGAATGCTTGAGCTTGTGTTTTACATTTTAAATCTAAGCAGTTGCACAAGGAGCCTCTCAGTCATTCAGCCTGAAAATGTAAAAGCTCCCCCTTTTTTTTTTTTTTT